ACAAAAAAAAAAATCCTTGAAAATAAACAGTAACTTGTAGTGACTTGAAATTTGCACTTTATTATACTAAAATTGAACTGCATAGAACTCGAAACTTTTCTAAAAATTATGAATAAAAAGTTTGAAATTTGTATGAACATTTTTTGTGAACTTTTTTCAATCTTTGAAACTGTTACTTACATATTTATGTGGTTTCTGTTATTATATTAAATTCAATTTGGCCCCGTTTAAATTGTGAAATGAAAAAGAGCTTTTCATAAAATGCACTAAATGATTTAACTGTTTAATTTTTTTCATTCATTTTTTTTTTTAAATAAAGGCTTCTTATGGGGAATGTTTTTTTTATTTTAATATTATTATTATATGGAAATCAAATTAAAGGTAAAAACTTGTACTTTTATCTAAATTATGAATTTTTTCCAAAAAAACGTAATTTTATGAAAAAATTGCTACATTTTTTTCGTTTTTTAATAGTCTTGGCTTATAAAAGAGTATGTAGAAATAAATAAAAAATAAATAAAATACCGACTCCTGGGTAGAAGAGCTACCTATCTCGGCAGCGATTGAAAACGCCCTATCTCAGAAAACTTTTCAATATCGCCCTACTTCAGCATTTGTTTGAAAACACCCTATCTCAGAATTCGGTTCAAAAACGTCCTATATCAGCTGAAAATTAAACATATATTGAATATGTGCTGAGATTGGGCTCTTTTGAATCGGCAGCTGATAGGGCGTTTTTAAACCGAATTCTGAGATAGGGCGTTCTTCAACCAGATTCTGAAATAGGGCGTTCTAGAAAAGTTTTCTGCGATAAGGCGTTTTTGAACTGGCTACCGAAATAGGGCGATCTTCGCCCTATAATACATTTGCGGAGCTTCTCCTCTGAATTGTGGCGTGCGCCTTGATGTTGTCACACAAAGGGGAGGGACCTACAGTTTTACGCCGAGTCCGAACGGCGATGGTATTTTTATGAGAAGCTATTTTCATTGCATAAATATACTCGGAGGTTTGCCATTGCCTGCCGAGGGGCGAAGAAAATTAGAAGAAAAAAAACTTATTTATTTTATGTTGGGTTGAATCATTCGGATTTATGGTTAATTGGCTGGCCAAATTAAAATAAGAATAAAGGAAAAGGTTGGTAATGAAAATAAAATGAAAGTTTCATAATTAATGCAAAAAAAAATTATATTAGGAAAGTACCAGTTATTACCTTTAATTTTATGTACATATTTTATTATGATCTGTTAAGTTTTAAGAATTTAATGTTTAGTGATATTAAAAGTTATGTGCAGGTATGTATTCTACGATATTAGATACACATTTTCCGCCTCTGGCAACACCGACATTGTCTACCACGAAAAATCAGCTGTTTATGGTTATGGTACCTATAATCGATGATATGTAATGTGGTTATGGTTATGTCAATGGTTATGGCACTGGCGTTATGGTATGTCACCACTAATTTAATCTTAAAAGTAGGTACTATCGATCTGTATTTTTAGTTTTTCCATAGGGTTGGTACTCTTTTTGTGTTCCCATAAAAGAAAAATAAAATGCTTTCCCAGAAATGTATGACTTTCATACGTGCAATAAGTACTGTAATTCCAGTGGGTTATCTTTCCCCTCCTTATCATTCCCAACTCACATCCCATACAACTCGCTAAAATTAAACACACCACAATCAAGCAATGCGCCCGCTTGCGCGCAACGAGCGAATTCGGTAGAAAAAACCATGTAATAAAACAACAAACATAACATTAAATACTCACCATTTTAACCCCGCATTTGAAAACACAATGCAAACATTTGAAATGGCGAGAGGTATATGTATGCACTTGAGTATGTGCCCTGCGTTGATTTTGTTGGAATTAAATCCCTTCTCCAAAAGAATACTTTTTAATGTCTACACTTTTCACTTAATAACCATTAGCACAAATTACTATTTTACCATTGTATACTTTTGTATAAAATAAATTTAAGAAATGCGTTTTCGACCGTCAGCCGACATTTGTCAGCGAGCAACGAACGTGCATGTAGCTCAACGAATGGCTTCGACAATTCGACTTTTGTATGAAGAAAAAGGTGCGTGGCGCACGAGACGAGAATCCACAGCGGTTTGTTGTTGGTGCGCGTATGCCAGCGCCTGTTATTGTTTGTGTTGTAACGTTGGTAGTCTGGCACACTTCTTTATATTAGTTTTTTTTTTAACATAAATTGTATTCAAATTGTTAATTTACTATACGTTCCGTCAGTTTTCCTAATCTGTCACATTAACTCACAAAAAACTTTTGCAATTTAGCTGCAATGAACTAGCCACAATTGCTTTGAAATTTCCGGCACTGAATTTTTTCATCTTCGCCATTTATACTTTTCACAGCCTTTATCAGCTACTACGCTTTAACATCAAATTCGCTGGTGCTCGTCCGCCGTGCTGCCGTTCTACGGTCTCCGTGCCATGCCCGCCTTGGAACGAGTATACCGCTCCTGTAAGTGTACTGCCCCACTTTCGTTTCTTTCAACTTTTAGTATCTTCACGATTCACAAGCCGATTTTACATTTATTACAAACGTTTCTAGCAGTTTTTTGCTCACTTTTAACTTAAAAATTGTTTATATACTCAACTTTTTACTGCACAAAATTTACTTTAAAAACGCCAAACGCGACACGATGCTTTTCGCAGCGAACGAACAGTGAAACCGAGAAGCGAAAGACGAGCGAACGATGGCTGACGGCATTGCCAGGCAAAATTTATTGAAGATTCTTGAAATACACTCAGAAGCAAATGAATTTCTGAATTAAAAAATGAATTCAACCAAAAAAACATGAACCAAAAAAGATCCATTCATTTACATATACAGAAAGTCAATAAAGTTTAGGTACAGCGAATTTGTTAGAATACGGGCAACTATTTTTTAAATATTTTATTTTTCGCTCATTTTTTATAAAAATATGGTTAATTCTACAACAAAAACCCCAAAAAGAAAAGCTCCAAACCTTGTGCAAAATTAGAGAAAATTCTGCAAAATTTCATTCAAATATTGCACTTTTTATTTACGCTCTCTAGAAAAAATTTGAGTATGCAGTTTTTCAGCCCATTCAATTTTAGTATAATAATGTGCAAGTATGAGGAAGCTAGGACTTACCATTGATTTTTGGGAAATTTTTTTGTTTAAGGTGTCGCACATTTTTTCCATATAAAAAAATTATCAAACGCAGAACGTATACTTAACCGCAGTCTGTGTACGCAGAATTTTGTAGATTACTGGAGCCCTCAGTGTTGCTTACTACAGTGTTGCCACTGATCAATGCCTTTTCATAAACTACCTTTTCAACTACAATTTTTCGTGCTATAATATATCGTAGCTAAATATAAACTACTTAGTTTTCAACAAAAAACCTTATTCATTAGTAAATTTCAAATAGTTTAAACGTATTTTGAATAGGAAATTATAACTTTTTTACCATCTGCAAAACTGACGAAGTGGCAACAATCTATAGAAGGAAGAAATCAGCTGACACGGAAAAATTTAAATTCCGCAGCTTTCTGCGCTTCATTTAGATGACGCTCTGGTAAGATAGATCGTGTCAGCTGACTCGGGTTTACGTACCGGTAGGTTTACGTTCTTGACTAATTTAAGCTTTAATTGTAGCAGTGCTGGAAATTTCCAGTGGAATATTAGTTTAGGTACTAAAATTTAGGTCAACTCGCACACAGCCTAAAACTACATAGGCAACAAGAATGATACAATTAATAGAATTGTTCGCTGCACCGTGCATGGGCAACTAATGGGGCAAGCAGTGTTCCCACCCTGAAAAATCAAAAGGCAGTGCCCAAGACGCATCCATATAAGAGTATGTTTAGATATAAACATAATCTCAATCAAAGCTAGTTTTTAATCACCATGTTTACACAGGCTCAGATTATTAGCCGTCAAATTTTTGTGCTTGTTATTCTCATATCTCAAGGAAAAGTTACGTTTCTTCTCTGTACCACCCTACCGCTATATTAGCAATTTCAATAATATTTAAACTTAATATTTTATTAAAAAATACCTTTATAAACCTTTTTTCCTTGCCAGCTGCCATTTCTGTTTAGACTGCTTTTACACAGTTCAAGTATGACTGCTTTTACACAGTTCAAGTGTTGAATTCAATTCTGCTTGCATATGCAAGAGAGAGGGTGAGAAGAAAAGGGACGAGTACGCATGCGTATGTACGGTCAAGTCGTTTCAACTTTCTTGCTTTGCTTTTGAAATTTTCGTTGTTTCTTATTTAAAGAACCAAAAACTTTAATTCAACAGAATTGAAGCATGTAAAAGCAAATAGAAAACACAAAAGAGAATGATCAAAAATTGCTTTCAAGTACTTGAATCATGTAAATCGGGTGTTACTTTTACATTTGGCATTTCCCCTCTTCAGCGCAAAAATAATCGATGAAACTAGGATGGATACCGAAAAGTTATCGGTTTATTCTGAGATTATTTTATAATTACAGATTATGTTGGGAGGAATTTTGTATGGCTAATCCATTTCTTTAATTACAGAGGGAGTAAAACTCGAAAATTATATTATATTATATTTCAATGTAGTATAAGCATATAAGTAAAAATCCCGTGTATTTTGTTATTGATATTTGGTACTTAAAATCGCTTAAAAATTACTGAAATAAACCACCGACAAAATACAAATAAAGAAGCAAAACAGAAATAGCAAACTTCAAAATTACGAACCTCACACAGTTTTTTCTTAATTGCTATTACAAATGGTTGATTATCAATTGGTCAGAACTGGGCCCATACTCCGTAGTTCGAATCGATAGTAAATTTGTTCGAATTCGAAAGTTTGGTACTATATAAGTGTTAGGCGTTCGAATGTAAATTGTTTTCGATTCTGTTCTAATTGGTTCATGCATTTTTAGCTCGTCGATACTGTTTAGTATTCGCAATCTTTACTCGGTACTTGACAAAAATTATCGATACTACTCAGTACTCATGAAAAGTTTCGACGTCTGTACTCGGTTCTCGTATCGTTCTATCACAAATTGTGATTATAATATTAAAAAATTTAAAATATTAAAAAATTTACATTAAAAAATGACTACGCTGCGTCCATTCACTTGCGATGATCTCTTCAAATTCAATAATGTGTGAGTGCAACGTTTTGCGTGCAGTTTTTTAAGTGTTCTAGCTCAGCCATTGCCTAAGATTTTATAAAAATTATGCCATATTTATTAATTTACAGCAACTTCGATCCATTGACTGAAACTTATGGGCTTTCTTTTTACACACAATATTTGGCTAGATGGCCTGAATACTTCCAAGTGGCCGAATCGCCAAGTGGTCAAATAATGGGTTATAGTAAGTAAAACATAAAGCCGTGAGATGTTTACTAACCGCTTGTTTATTCTCTCGCGCAGTTATGGGAAAGGTAGAAGGACACATGGAAAATTGGCATGGCCATGTAACTGCATTGACGGTTTCACCTGATTATAGGCGTCTAGGTCTGGCTGCATTGCTGATGAATTTCTTAGAGGATATCTCTGAAAAGTATGTTTGAGTATTAAAAAAAAATCAGTATGTATTTGCTTTATGTCTTATACATATATCTTCAGAAAACGTGCCTACTTCGTTGATCTATTCGTGCGCAAGAGCAATCAGGTGGCAATAAATATGTACCAAAATCTGGGCTATATAATTTACCGCACCATACTCGATTACTATGCAGGCGAACATGACGAAGACGCTTATGGTATGCATGGAAAAGTTCATATTATATTCTTATTTTCTTGACTAACATACAATGCATTTTTTTTGTTTAGACATGAGGAAGGCCTTATCTAGGGACGTGGAAAAGAAATCTATTATACCATATACACATCCGGTACGGCTGGAAGATTTAGATACCAATTAAGATTAAAAAGCGCATTTATTTGCTGCTTGCGAACATTACAACAACATAAGCATGCCTTAACATTAATAATTCATAAATAAACATTACCACAAAGTCAAGCAAATTATTTGCATACATACATACAATAAATATTATAAATATATACCTTCTGACATGTGGCTAATTGGATCGTGTTAACCGCTTTTGCAATTATTTGAAGCTGCTAATACATATGTTTGTATGTCGTTTCCAAAGTGAATTTTTGTAGTATGTATGTGCTAGCTATCTTTATACGTAATGGCTAAACAACTTCAATTCTGCTCTTAGGAATGTAACTAATTCTTAAAAAAAAAACTATACACCTGTATTGTTTGTACACCGTTGAAAACAAAGACATGAGCTCTGCATTTCTTTTGTTTACTACTTCTTAAAGCAGCACCCCACAACACATTTATTCAATTATCAGGTAATTTCAATGTGAACAAGATAGAAAGCATTCTACCAACTACATACATGTAGGTGTATATAGTTACTTTAATATAGAAAGGTCGTATCTCGCATCGTCGCTGAAATACAAAAGCCGTAACTAACTAAAACTACAAAGTCCCTTTTTGATTGATTGTGATACATATAATCGATTAAAAAGTCGCCACATCGTTTTTAGTTAGTCACGGCATTTTTGCATTTCAGCTACGATGTGAGAGGAGGCCTTTCTATATTAAGGTAACGGATATGTATGTTATAATCCTTTAAAAATATGTTTGAAAATTTACTTTTTTTCAGATAACAGCACGCCAGCTACATCAAGCCAATGCAAGTCAACCTCCCTCAATCATGGAATAACCCGAGTGGCTTAGAAAAGCTCAAATTTAAATTTGCAACATTCTAGTCTGGCGTTTTTGAGTCTTGCGAGTTCAATATGGTTAAATAATTACTTTTCTTATTCTACATCTGTTCTTTGAAAAGCTATTACTATTTCTTGATATTGCGAAAGTAAGTAACTACATATGTATGTATAGTTATGGAAGGTAATAATTGGAAAGGATATCGTTTACCTTAATTCACAAAGGCCCTAACCAACATTTTTTTTATTTTCCAGGAGAAGTAAAAAAACATAAAAAGAGTATCAAAAACAAATAGGCTCTTTAAAAGTGGCATGAAACTCCGTTATTTTTGGTACTAGCACTTTAAAATTTTAACTAAAGGTGTATTTTAACAAATCCTACTAAAATCTTGAAAAACGCAGCTTGAAAAAAGTTTGGTTAGGGCCTTTCTGAATTTAGGTAGCGATATGCAGTTTTCTAATTAATATTTTACTTGGCTTTTATAAAAAAAGGTATTTGCACACCCTCAAGAGAAATTCAAGTATTTAATTTTTTTCGCTAAACAGGCTACCAGCTAGAAAAATGGGGAGTGTGTAGACACTGCCTTATAGCCACAAGCTCCGCAACCGTGGATCCCAGCTTGACTTTAAGTTCACATGCCCAACGTTATGCTACTTTAGATGAAACTATCCGCACACCGGTAGAGAATCATTTAAACTTTTTAAATACCTACAAACAGTCCGCTGATCCATTTTTGGCTATAATCCAATAATTTTTCGACAAAGTGCCACAACATAAACGTGTTGCCTTCAAAACTGATATTCTCAATTATACCTACAAAATGTACGCGGAAATTAAGGACTGAATGATAAAAAAAAAATAAATGGTGCTGAGTGAATTTAAAATTTGGACATTTCTTTGCATCGAGGATTTGATATTCTATAACGAGGCATTGGTCCAACTCCGCCAACTTCGTTATATCGTGGTTTTTAGTAAATACGTAGCTAGACTTATAAAAATTAATAAACATTAAATAACGGCCAAACTTAATAAAACGCAAAAAAAGGCAAATAAAGGCACTAAAAACAGGAAAATCCGAAAAATAAACCAAAAATACGTATATTTCAGGAACTTTTATTTTATAAGTAAAAAGAGAAAAACTATGAACCAGTTTCATTATATGAAAAATTTGTACTATGATCCTTTGACTATTTTCTCCTCTCGAGTTTTTAACTCCTACAACTTTAATCCCTATAGTTGTAGTAACAATTAACCACAAGATGCATTTTGAACTTTTCTGGCAACATTTTCATTACATTTTCGCGAAGAAAGGCCTTGGATATACTAAACGTGCGCTCGACGTGAGCTGATACAAGTGGCGCTCAATTCCCCATAAATCAACTTTTAAGGCAAAATTTTTCGTCCGACATATTGATTTCATCAAATTGCCACGGTATTTATTATAAGAGAAAAGAATAAAAGTCAATCAATAATCAATATATTAAGACAAATATCTTCCAGGTCATCTATAATTATTATTCAAGGACTTATATTATAAAAATCCTTTCATAATAATTATCAGAGAGATAAATATTTTTTAGTATTCGACTTATATTATAAAAGTTTTTTTATAATAATTATGAGTGCGAAAAAATTTTTTAGGTCTTAAAAGACGGGAGCATTTCAGGATTAGTTGGGGACCAGTTCGGCGCTAGGTAGGGACCATTCGGGACAAGTTGGGGAGCAGTTTATCTCAATGATAAATATTATGACAAGACTTTTATAATATAAGTCTCAAAATAAAAGTCTTTGAAGACTTAAAAATATTTATCTCGCTGATAATTATTATGAAAAAACTTCTATTATATAAGTCTTAAAAAAATAGTTATCGATGACTTAAAAATATATATTTTTTTTTTTTTTTTTTTGTAATTTAAAGTTACTTCCTAATTCTTTATAAGAAGAATTAATTGGCCAGCAAAAAAATATTTTTTAAATCTTCAAAAAAGAGATTTATTTGACAGAATTTTTTCAAGAATTTTTTAGATTTTTGAAATATTAATCTTCACTTGAAAGATTTGTTTACGAAAATATTCTGGCAACACTCATTTCCGCTCCAACACACACGATTGTTGTTGCCGTGCTGCTATGTGCAGCAAACGCACGGTTGTATTGTTGCTTGATACACGTTCACAGCCAAACGGCTTTGGTCGCTGAGGGCCGTACGGGTTTTTTCCATGAGCAATTCCGATTTTCGCTGTCGTTGGCATTACCCAATTACAAAGAATGCACTGTGGAGTTACATATGTATTTGTACACTGACATATGGCATATTTTTGATTAGGGATATATAATTTACATTACCCCATACATACGTATACACGAAGTATACATATATAGTACATTCATACATATGTATATTGACATATTTATCCTGAAACTAGAAGATATCGATTTTGCGTTGATCGTCATTGCTGAAACTTTAGACAGATTGACTACAAAAAAGGTCGAAATGGTCACTGTGCGGAGCATAGTTCACAAGCCGTTCCCATTTGCTTCGAAACTGCATTGCAACCCTGAAACGAAATGGCCGCAAATAATACGGCGAACAACCGAACACAGCCGAATCTTGCCATGTCAACGATTTCAGACGAACTGGGCACGGTTGCCAATCTAGTAAAATGTTACCAGAATTGGTACTTTGACACTTAAGTTTATGATTTTTCAAAAAGTGTATTTAATCGATTCGGAAAAGGCAGAAATCATGTATGTACATACATACCTATGTAAACCTCTAGGCAACTTTAATACAATCTCGAAGGTGTAAGTAACGCCCATTGTGTATGTCAAAAGAAAGAAAAGGTTTTTAATACTTTGGGTTATCTTTTTAAAATTGTTGGAGACATTTTGTCCAAGTGTGTGGCAACCGTGGAACTGGGTACAAATGGACGCGATTTGGCAGCGGCGAAGCAATGGTGTATACAACAACAAACAGCTGAGTAGTGCTGCCACATAGCTGGAACGAAAAGTACCATTTCATCGATGGAAAATGCCTTCTGAGACCAGCACCTCATAAATTAATAGATGGTTAGCCAAGTATTTCGGGCGCTTGCAAGCGATTACTTTTTTAATATATCCATTCAGCTGTTATGTCGAATTCGTCCTAGAAACCTAAAAAATGCAGCTAGGACAGTTTTATGTGAACTGTGCAAGTTATTTTTGACGTTAGCTAAAAAACAATTCTGTATGCAGTCTAAGGCATATTGAACAGGTAGTATCAGCAAACGTTGATTGTGGGCATTGCAATGGATGGATCAGTGCTTTTTGAAGCAAAAAAATTTAGCACGAGAGTTGCACAAATATAATTTCGATTTTTTTTTTTTAATTTTCGTTTATATTTCACACGGCCTTTATTTTATCTAAAATTTTTAATGGATAAATGAAAGGGGTACATCTAACACGCTACTAACGTGACGTTGTTGTTGTAACATCATTCAAGCTCCCCGGAGTTTTTGGGGAGTGATGCTGGAGTGCCCGTCCTTGTCCAGGTATACATTTGTACGTAAATCTGGGTCGTTCCGGTTACGTAGATCCCACTGTCGTGGGAACTCTTCATGCATGACTACGCGAATTAGGTCGAAGAAGATTTGAAGACACGAGTTGCTTTCAATCTTTGGTTAGTTATGAAGATTAGTAAACAGCTAGAGTGCAGAAAAAGATGCAGAACTTGAGAGTTTCAATGTATTTGATATGTGGCATCCCCATCCACAGCAAGAAGGCGAGCGAGTCGTAAAATGAAAAATCATCGGTCAGGCAGCGACGTTGTCGACTGCGACCCAAAGCACAACGGCACAGCAACGACAACGATTACCAACCGGGCACAGCGCATACGGCAGAACGCACAAACAAACATACGCACGCTCACACAAACACCAGCTAGAGCACAATGAACGCGCAGTCTTGTATTTGAAATAAAATCCGGAGAAGGGAAAGGGAGGACAACGAAGCGAACCACAAAAGAGAGATGAAGATAAAACGAGGAAAAAATGATGTCGATTTTTGTTCGTCGCTCGCGTAGACTGCGAAACTTGAAATTGAATTGAAAATTATTTTTACTGTCGTTGGTGTAAAGGAGGCGATTTTGATGATAAAGTAAAGTTTTCCAAGCGTAAACGAGCCATTATTGACCAATTTTGAATTGAGGTAAGTGCAAAATTGTGTTTTTTAGAAGTAATAGAGCCACCTGCATATTTAAAATTAAATTAGGCGATGTATATTGAAGAAAAGAAAGTGTTCCAAGTTGAGGGGAAACTCGATGTTGGGCTGAATTTTTAAAAGTGAATACGATTTTGTTCTCCCTTTAAAGCCAGGATGATTATTGGACACACAAAGCAATCTATGAAGCAAACTCGTAAAATTAAAAAGACTCCATAATGGCAAGTCAGTAGCAGCCAAAAAAGAAATTAATTTGGTTTTAATGTTGAGTTTTAATTTTGGAAAAATATTGATGAGTTTATTATAGATATGTAGTGTACCCACTAGTAGTTTTCCAATTTTTAGCGAAATAACCAGCATACGCTGTCATCTTCCCTACAGCCATTACGATTCATCCACCACCACTAATACCATTGTCATTATCATCACTACCACAGTTGCGAGTGTGGTACCAATACCAGCAACCACCAGTGCAACCACTGTTTTGCTAACCAACATTGCCATCGATCGATCCATCTGCCGAACGCGATAGCTGCGGCGGCAATAGCACCGGGCATACACTTTTAGAGGAAAATACTTTCGGAAACGCCAACGTGATCGCCACCTTTAACACAGCAGCGGTCTTCGATATGACAACTAACAAGGACATTGCGTCGTTCTTCGAGAATGGCAACACGTACCAATTCGAGTACTGCTATAAACTTTATCCACAAGTGCTAAAATTAAAGGCAGAAAAGCGAAGCAAAAAACCACAAGAGCTGATACGTTTGGACGATTGGTATCAAAACGAGTTGCCAAAGTTGATAAAAGCACGAGGGAAGGATGCCCACATGATATACGACGAGTTGGTGCAGACAATGAAATGGAAGCAGTCTCGTGGAAAGTTTTATCCACAGCTCTCGTATCTGGTGAAGGTAAATACGCCGCGCGCTGTTATGCAGGAGACAAAGAAAGCTTTCCGTAAGCTGCCCAATCTTGAACAGGCCATAACGGCACTCTCAAATCTCAAAGGGGTTGGCACCACCATGGCATCGGCGCTATTGGCAGCTGCTGCACCTGATTCAGCGCCATTCATGGCAGATGAGTGCCTAATGGCAATTCCAGGTACGTATTGAAAGGATTTCATTATTCCTTTGGACATATAAAAATAAATAAAATAGCGTTAGGCTAGAGTGACAAATATAATATACCTAGTAAAATGAATAGAAGAAATATACAAACTAAGAAAACATTTACGTTAGTATTTGCTCAGTTTAATTGCTTTGGTTGCTTTGAATTACAGAAATCGAGGGTATTGATTATACCACCAAGGAGTACCTCAATTTTGTGCAGCACATTCAGACTACTGTTGAGCGCCTAAATACCGAGGCTGGCGGCGAAACACCGTTTTGGTCGCCACATCGCGTGGAGCTGGCTCTCTGGGCCCATTATGTTGCGAATGACTTGAGTCCAGAGCTGTTGGATGAAATGCCCGGACCAGGCGCTGGTGGCGGTGCAAATACCAATGGTAGTGCAGTAAAGGCAGCAACACAGGCAGCTAAAATAATTAGTGGTGAGGCTGACGATACAAATGACGGCGATGATGAAAGTTTAGGTGCAGGTGGGATGTCAAAGCTATTTTACCTTTTTAAGCTTACGTTTTTTTTTGAGTGAAAAAAATTTACTTTCAGCTGAAAATGATCACACCAACACAGCACCCATTGTAATAGCGGCTAGTGCTTTGCAGGATGGCGATTCTAACTTTGTTTCGAACGACTCCACTTCACAAGAGCCCATCATTGATGAGAACACCACACAGACCACTGCTACAACCTCAACCGACGATGGCGAAGTTGGCACACCACTCGCCTCAGATTCAGAGAGCAACTTGGAGGCACCAGAAAAGGCTAAACTTAAACACAACAACAGTAATAGCAGCATAAATACAAACACAAATAGTAATAGCGACATTGAAGGCATTGGCCACCTTGTGAGCAACAGCCGACAGAAGGAAGCTGCCGCTACGGTCGTAGGAAATGGCAACGGTAATGGAAATGGTACTTTAGCGAGTTTGGTTGCACCTGGTAGTGATGGAGAAAACAGCAGTTGCTTGCGTTCAACGGGAAATGAGGAAGGGAGCGAGGAAGATGAGGAAGACGCAGAGGACGAAAGCAGTAACAGCAACAGCCGCCACATCGGACAGAGCCACAAGTCAATAACGCCAGTGTTTGGCGGTAATGATGCTATAAATTACACCACAGCCATCGCTAGCGACTCCAACAACGATTCCGCCCTCAGCAGTGTTGTCGGAGCCGTTGTTGCGCAGAAGCGAGCATTGCAATGCGCCGATGGTGGCAGCGAAGTCGACGGAATCTTAACATCAGATGAAGCACACAGTCAACCAGAGCTGAAGAAAGTACGAAACGAATAAGTTACAATGGATAAGCGGTTTAACTAGAGCGTAATTAAAATATAGCATATAGAGTGAATGCGCGCTGCCGGTGGGGCAGGAGAAAAGACACAAACCTAAAAAATAACGTAAAGTGCCGCAAGACGAATGATCGGAGTAGCGCGCGCAGCATTGCAGGATCACATTCTTTAACATTAAGTAAAATTTTTACAGATAACACCTTAACAAAGAAAAAAAAAAAAAACAAAAATGTGGAAATTAAACAGAAGAGTAAAATAAAAGCAGCCGAACGATGAATGGCTAAGGAAAGCGATTACCGACAGAAGCGCAGACATGCTGCGTTCCAAAAATTGCAGCTATGTACTAGTAACAAATGCCTTGAACTTACTCACTGAACAAATAAATACCCAGTTACGATACAATGTAGGCACAGTGCTTTTTGGCTTGTCCTAAAGCTTTAACCTCAGATTAAGGCTGTGTACTACTGCTGCCGCCTTCTGTTGAATTTGCATTTCACTTTACACTTTTAATTCACAAGTTTATTTGGTTTTTATTTTTTATTCTTCATACCACATTATTTTTTAAATAATTGAGGAGGTCTTCAAAATAAACACCTTCTTGAATTAAAAAAATATATAATATTAGTTTAAAAATAATTTTTACTTAATTTATCATTAAAGAATATTTATTTCTGCATTTTTCCCCAACAAAAAGTAACTGCAAGTAAAAGTACATCTAATTAAATAACTAGTAAAAAAAAAACGTAAAGTACTTCTTTGATTAGTTTACACTTAATGTAAAACGAAACTACGCAAATACATACATATACTTGGATACAAAAAAGAGTATTCAAAATCAAAGTTGAGACGAAAATGACTAAACAGTAAAAATCATTGCAAAATCATAACGCAAATTTAAATAATAAAAAAATACAGTAAGTAATGCAAATTATTTTTAATTAGTAATGTAATGTATACTACTTTAAAGCAAATTATAATGCCACACACACACACACATATATACATACTTATTACATGCTAGTGTACATCTGCATCCATATCCACAATCATTTTGAAACACTTGCAAACATTATTTTACTATAACAATAAACAGTGATGAAAAGTTAAAAATCCAAAAATATGGATATGTTTTCGGCTACGAAAAATAAGCTCAACATAATTGGATAAATATCTATGTACATATGTACATGTGTCAATTTCAATTTATGTATACCGCATTCGTGAGACACCTTGCACTGGCACATTTGCATACACAATTTGTAGGTTGCGTTGCATAAAAGTCAACTGCCCCTTTGGAGTTTAATCGCTTGAAAGGCACAAATTTGGTTTTATGTAGATTGCTAATATTTTACTCGCAATGTTTCCTTTTTTATTTAAGTCTACTTAAAAAGGTTAATAGAAATAGAGGAATATGCAAAAGTGATCAACAAATCCACTACTACCTTAAATAGAAAGCAAAATAAGAAATACAAATTGAAATTTTTTACAATAGCGCATTTACAATACATATAGAGAGCAAAAAATAAAATTATAGCAACAAAAATGAAAAATATTCGACCTAATCGCGAAATCCATGTGAACAAATATTCCCAAAAAATTATAAAGCAAACCAAAAAAAAAAAATTCTCAATTTGTTTTTGTTTTGCCTGTACATTATGGGAACGATTTATTCACATGGAATTGGCTATAAGGATGATTAAACCAGGCAAATCGAAAAAAAAAACTTAATTTAAGGTACACGTAGTTATAGAAATCCTTATATACATACATACATACATATATTAAAAGCGTGAAAAAAACTGAAAAAAAACCCAAAATAAATTTAAAGGTATAAAATATAGGTAATAAAATTTTTGTAGTGAAAAAATCAAAAGGGCAACATACATAAATTGTAGCATATAAAACAGGGCTGAGTTTAACAAGGCAACATGTTAACGATTCCGAGTTGAAAATAAATGTCGTCAGGTGACCACAAGATTTGATGGTTGATGTCGAGGATGCAAAGTAAAATGAGTACATAATTGCAACAGCAACGGTATGTAAACACGCAAATGACTATAAAAAGTAATACAAATAAACAAAAACTAAAAAAAAAGAATTTAAACGAGACTTAACTGCTTAAATTAAATTTGCTTATGCGTATACATCTCGGAGGAAATCTATTAACGGACAATTTCTTTGAAAAGTAAGTATGGAAATGTCATCTAAAATGCCTATGTTCATTGCCAATTACAAGGATATAGCCTACGTAGTTGAAAGGCACCATGTATGGTCAATTATGTATTTGTTTTAAGATCTCCGATGATCTATTTAGGTGTTGCTAAAACCTATACAGCTCTGTTCCAGTCATGAAATGCCAAAGTTAACAAGTGTTCGTCGCAATATGAAACTCACCTGGAGGCACTGTTAAAAATATGTAGGAGGCTTGACTTCGTGGTGACTTGGAAGTTTGCACTGCTGTTCTTGTTGTAACAGCACAAAGATTCCCCAAAGAGTTTTATGCGGAGTGTTGGAGTGACAGTGCTTGGTCTGATATAAATCTGGGTCGTTCCGGTTACGTACACAGGGCTGTCGTGGGAACTGAAGTTTGTGCTCTTCATAATTGTTATAAAATTTAGCTAAAAAAAATATAAAACGAAAGGAATTTACATTCTTAATTTAATCAAGAAAAATATATATATATATATGTACATATATACAGTCTTGCTTCACTTTCGTTTTATACGCAAATCAAAATGGCGTTCATATGTTCCGCCACATTCGAAAATGGCGCATTCGTTTCAATTTCCTTCGGATCACTCGCTACTTTTGTCAACGAGTAATTGCAGCTTTTACAAAAAAATGGCAATATCCAAACTTTCCAAAGTGGCAAATATTTGCCAACTTCCGCAAAGCACAGTGTTTTAACTTGTAAAGTAAAAATTACTGACAGAGAATTTAAATTCCGCATACTATACAATTGTGTACATACGTGAAAGTTTCTGCTTACGTTGAGGCATTAATTTTCCTACATAGAAATGTATTTTAGCTACATTCAAAATGGCCAACGACGATTCACATCGGCTTACTGCCGATGCATATGAATAAAATCGAAAGAAATAGGTATGTATGTAATTATATTCAACCATGCGGATGTATGAGCGTGTGTGTAAGCCGAAGCCGGCAAAACACCATTGCTAAGGGAACTGAAGCGCTAGAGGATGAAAGACAGCGTAGATTTGTGGCAGGTAGCAACTACGTTGCTGTTGCTATACACATAGCAGACAACTTTTGTTAGTATCCGGCAACACTGCACATTGTTGTTGGTTACACAAAAAACATGCATACATACATATATAAAAATAATATAAAATAATTACATATGTTTACATAAAAATAAAATACAAGCCAGGTATGTGCATAAGTAAAGAACTAAGTAAAACAGGCAAAGCAAGTGTGATGATAAATTAGATGCGAGGGATCAAGCGCGGAGTACAAAGCGAATGCTTGATGTGTGGAAAGTGGAAAGCAGGAGGACGCAGAAAGAAACTACCCCCGTGATTATGGTTGTATTGTAGTTTGTCGTATAAGTAAGTTTTGCTTTTGTTGTTATCGTATGCGGAAATGGTACGATGTGTGAATTGAAAAGTGCGCTGGTAGGCTGGTGTGTTTGCAGATATGTACGTATGTGTGTATATGTATGAAAGTACATTTTTAATGAATAACCCTGTTTCTGACTAGCGGTCGCTTGTTAGCAATACTTTTGTTGTAGCCAAAATTTGTTCGACATTTAAAAATAAGGGACGTTCCATAATAAGCAGAGCTAAGTTTGGAAATTATATTTTGTTAAAAGGGTTCCCAGCAAAGCAATCTACAGGCTCGCAAGAAGCCTTTCAAAACTGACAAAAGCGGCTGATGTTCGATAACCAGTGGCGATTGTACATATGTATGTGATGACCTACATACCCAGATCTCCAATTTTCCATTACCGTTGAAATCTAAATTTTTACTAACCGGTAAACGGCACGCTTGGCAACTCTACAATTGAGTGAAATTACTTTGTACATACTAGCAAATGCAGCACTACTAACAAAGAACTCTATTAGCGAGCTACTAAATACAATACACGCTTTTGCGCCAGCCTGTAGCCGTGATAGCCATTCAGTGGATAAGCAAAGTCGCTCAAGTGAGAATGTGTCGTTTTTGAGTGCGCATCGCACGGCGTAGTGGCAATATATATATATGTATATAGAAAATATCTGCAAGTAAATTTGCTGCTGCAGCAAAATTGTATATCAACAAGAATTGCTTAAGGCAAAAACCAAAAAACGCAAATTGAATTGGAAATAAAAGAAAAAGCAGAAATGTAAGCATTTCAACAGAAAGTGTTGAATATACATTAATAAATACTGAGAAGAAATAATAGACAAAAAAAGTTAATTTCAACAACCGTGCAAATGAAATCGAAAATATTTCGTGTCGCGGCGCATTGAAGAAAAAGTTCGGAGCGAGAGAAAAACGAAACGAAAACTGCTTTGCTTTGCGCTAGTGACAGAGAACTTATAATAATACATAATTGTACTTATAATAATAATTATAGTATGTTCTCTGTTAGTGATTTGGTGAAAGAAATTCACTTGCGCCTGCTGCTGCTGCTTTCACCACTGCCGCCCCCCGACTCCCCTATCTATTCCAGCAGCGCTTTAACGCACAACAACACCTTTTATGCCAATTTATTTAAATGTGTATGTACATACATATATATATATATATATATATATGTATGTGTATGTATGCACATATGTACATAAATAAATGATATACATAAATGTGTACTACAATGGCAAACGCATCTGCCCTGTGAACGCCAGCTGTCAATGAAGCGCCCACAAGCCGCTCAGCGCTCAGCAATATTGGCTCATTGTGCTCGAGTGCGCTCAATAGATGTACGAGTGGTTTTGATTGTTTTTTTTTTTCTTTAATTTGGGGTATTTCATGGTTTTTTATTTTATTTACATTTTTTTTTTCGAAATACTACATACATACATACATACATATGTACATACAGACAAACGCACATGCATATTAGAACTTGGCAGTGGTTCGCTTAATGATGCGCGACGTGCACACATACTTAAATATGTACATAAATAAATAAAATTATTGGAATTTCAAATAAAATCTGGTATGAAAAAGATTAAATTTTGATTGTGGCAATAAAAAAATGTGTGGGGCGGCTGCTGGAAACACAAAAGCAAAAATACAATAAATAAATTGTGGTTTCAGTGGAAATATCAGTACAAATATAACGACAGTGTGCGGAATATCTATGTATGTACATATGTATATTTGTGGTATTTTATTTATTTTTTAACAGCATAGTGTAACGTTTATGTGATACGCGCAAATTTTTTATTTATGTATGTATGTATTCTTTCTTTTCTCTTTAATTTTTTCTTCGCTACTCACCCAAATAAAATATAGTAACAATAGCTTGGACTTAGTAGGGGGATTTACATACATATGTATGCATGTATGTATGTAGCGCGCCGCACGTAACTAAATGGAGGCGTGTTGCTCTAGTCAGCGCTTATCATAATCCATAAACCATAAATACCAGGGGGGGCGCTGGAAAAGAAATGAAAAGGTTTACTTGCATTTAAAACTAAGAGCAAGTGGTATAAAACAAAAAAAAAAAAATTTGGTATGTATGTACTGCGCCCCTCAAATCATATTTGAATATGGTGTGGCTACTTCTCAACGGCAAAGAGATAATCTATAGATATCAAAAAAAAAAAAAAAATATTCGAACCAGAAAATGAGTGTTGATATGCAGAAATGTAGGTGTGTGCAAAATAATATTAACAAACTGGTTTTAAATGCTTAAATCGGGTGAAACGGTTAAAATCGGGCGAATCGGTTAATATATTTCTGCATTGAAGTGTGAATTGAGAAAAACAGCGGCACATGTTGTAAGCCGAGTGGAAATTGAGCAAACGGTTAAAATCGGTTGAAACGGTTAATGTTTTTTTTTGTTTTGAGTTAACGCTAAAACTAAGAAACGCCTTCTTAATCTTATTTGGCACTGCAACCGTTTGTTGCTTTGGGCCGAGACCAAAAAGCCTTGCTAGTTACCTCTGTCCTTCGCGGATTTGCGCCAGTTGTTCAAGTACGGACACGTCCTTTTGGACTTGGTCTTTCCATTGTGATCGTGAGCGCCCTTGCTTTCTCCACCCATGCGTGCTGAGTCGAAGGATCTTTTCATGTCCATTTCGTAAAAAAGCTTGTACAGTTCGTCATTCCATCTTATTCGGTACTCGTCACCCATGCAAACAGGCCCGTAGATCTTGCATTGAACAGTTCTCTCGAAAGCCCCCAAAACCTTGTCATCTTTGTTCGACATCGCCCCTGTTTCTGCGGTACATAAAAAGACGGACAGGACGAGAGGCTTGTAGAACGTGGTTCTTATTCGTCGAAAGAGGGCTGTGCCTGCCGAGCACAAAGTAGCACCTGTTTGCAAGAGTTGTTCGTCGCTTATCTCCGGGCTGACCTTAGGTAGACAAAGTTCTTCACTACCTCTTCGAACAAGGAGCACTACAAACTCCTCCATAACCCTTTTTACGATCTGGAAGAAGGAGGTCGGAATACAGCCTGGAATCCACGCCGATGGCGTATCATATCCGAGTGCGAATAATCATTAAATACTCAGAGCTACTTTCGATAGTCTGTTCTCCTGCTAGGCGGATACAACTGCAACAAGGTCCTCAAGTCGCTAGCCGGCAGCACCTGGGTCAGAGGCAAAGAAACGTTGCTGGCAACATACAAGGCAGGGCAGCGACCGTGTGGTCGCCGGGGACTAGCAGGACGCAAAGGACGAAACTACAGACTTGCCAAAATACGGCTCTAAGGACACCCACAAGATGTCTTCTGATGTCGCCACAACATCGCCTACACGAGGGAGCAAAAATGCTCCCTGTCAGGGAGCATAACACAATTCTATGTAAGCAATTCCTTGTAGGGTGCCACAGACGTTGGCACCCGAAAAGACAACTGCTTGCCGAAGAGCCCTCGCCTACGCACGTCAGAACAAACTAACGGACGAAGTACAGAGGTTCATAAAACCACCTTTGGACCCGACGGCGTAGTCACCGGCAATAAACACCCATTCCCGACCTGTGTGTGCCGTCCTTGGAACAGAGCAACCTGACGTGGGCGAGACAGAGCTCGTCTGCCTCGGCAGACTCGCACCACCGTAGCCCAACTTCGCTAAACTCCTACCTGAGTCACCTCATGACTAGAAACACCTCCTAAACCCACTGAACTAAAGAGGGGCGCTCCTGGGTCTTGCGTTAGATGACCTCGACTACATACGCCAGTAGCTGTATGTTGTGCCGCTTCTTTTAAATCGAAAACCAGCACATAAAAAGAAACTCGTATTTTGTTTAATACAATTTATTAAAAAATTTATTTTTAAATCAAATTATAATGTGTATTAAAACTAAAACAACCTTCACTTTGCTAACGATAATCTAAACTATATTTTATATATATTTCATTTACGTAATTTATTAGTTAAAATCTACATATGTACTTGTTTTTTGAATATATGTATTTTTCTCAACGATAGCTCAAAACATCGACTACCTCCCGATATGGACCAGACAGATTCCAAAGAGGAATATAGCAGTCGTTGTTAGAGTGGCATCCGATGCATACTTTGGCTATACTTTAACTCCAGCTGGAATACGCATGCAAAATAATTTTTAACTAACAGCCACAAATTGCAAATAACTGCATCAGCAGTGGAGATTTTTTCTCTAATTTTTGGCGTAAATAAATTCAGCGGATCGAACTCTCACCCAGATGTCCTTATTTCGGCAATTTTTTGGTTCTACCTCAAACTCATGGATACGCGCGCTCATCATCTTCGTACTCACCTGGGCGCTGCTCGTTTACGTTTTTGTCAATAAGCTGAGTGCGCAACCGAATTCGGACGCGGATACGATAACAGCGAAACGCATCAATCAGGCGCTGCAGCTGCTCGAATACTCGAAGCAACGCAATGAGGAGCTGCGTCAGATGATCGAGAAGTTGTCGAGGTAAGTGTAAAATGGGTAAAATGAGAAAGGGAAAGAAAACGGTACCAACTGAAATATATCGATAATTTGAATTTTAACCATATCGAGGAATACATCGGTAACGATTACAATAGATATGCATATCGATAACGTTAGCGATGAATACGGATATCGAGGAATATTTCAATAAATTTATCGATAATAATTATCGATAAATGTATGGCCATAAATTTAGATAAAACACACACACGTATATAGTTTTCGCAATTCTGGTTAAATTTAACCAACGCAACCCTAATGCTCGAAAGTGCTAACAACAATTGCTTTAGGGGCAACTAAAGATGCGACAATTCAATGTTCGCGCCGCTGGAGCCATGCCACAATGTCTCGCCGTGCCAAATGGCAAACTGAATGCAATCGCCAGTCGCACGCGCGCCTATTGTGGGTGCATTAAGCAGCGCTCTACCGCTGCCCTCTGTCCTACTCCGCCCAGCTCATTCAGCTGCGTGTACAACCAAACAATGCCGGGTTTCCGCCACTACTCGACGCTTGGGGTGGCGCTTTTGTCATTTTAGGGACCGCATGCACTCACTCGAATATGGGCTTGAGTGAAAGCGAGGGATTACAAGCGATCAAAGTGTGATTGTGGCGTGAAATGTGCGATGATTAGTGTACTGACGCTTAGCGGTCGATGCGCGGCCAGCGGCGTGACGACTTCTAAAAAAAAAATATCTGCTGTGGACACTTTACAAATACATATATGTACATACACAATGTGTATATTTTAATGTTTTTACGCTTTGAATGAACAGTTAATTGCGCGTTCAACCATTTGAAAAGAAATTAGCACACATACATACCATACACATTCATACTACATAAATACACACAAATATGCAGCTCGTATTTAATTTCTTATTTTCGTTTAATTTTTCTTCACCCTTCTCATAGTGACCAAATCGACAAGCAGTCGGCGCAGCTTCTCATCGAAAAGCTCGAATTCAATTTGCAAAACTCCATAAACATACAGAACCAAGATGCCGCATTGGCTGACTTCATGGGCGCCGGCGACGGTGACGCGGACACTTTCGGCGGCATGCCGGCTCCAAATGCGGGCGCTCAACGTGCTGCTGGCAGCGCGCACGAGCCCAGCCTGGAGTACGAGCTGCTACGTCGCCGTATACAGTCGAACATAGGCGAGATTTGGAACTACTTTAGCAGTGAGTTGGGTAAGCTGCGCAAGCGCGCCGCGCCAACGCAGGCCGAATTAACGCAGGACATCAATGAAGTGCTGCAACTGGGCGCCGAACACAAGCGCTCACTGTTGAGTGACATGGAGCGCCTGCGTCAGGTGGATGGTTACGAGGCGTGGCGTCAGCAAGAGGCGCGCGATTTGAGTGATTTGATGCAGCGGCGGCTGCACTACCTGCAAAACCCGAAGGATTGTGCCAACGCGCGCAAGCTGGTGTGCAAACTGAATAAGGTGAGTGCCGTAGGGGAAATGCCTTTTGTTGTTTTATTTTGGCGATAAATCTAAATGCGTTCCCCTTGCAGGGCTGCGGCTACGGCTGCCAGTTGCACCATGTCGTCTACTGCTTCATAGTGGCCTACGCGACGGAGCGCACAATGATCTTGAAGTCGCGGGGCTGGCGCTACCATAAAGGCGGCTGGGAGGAGGTTTTCCTGCCGGTGTCCGAGACTTGTCTGGAGGCGGACGCCGCGCACGCCAGCAACTGGCCTGGGCGGCATGATATGCCGGTGCTGGTGTTGCCGATCATTGACTCGCTAATGCCGCGTCCGCCCTTCCTGCCGCTAGCTATACCCGAGGACTTGGCGCCGCGACTCAAGCGTCTGCACGGCGATCCGATTGTGTGGTGGATCGGACAGTTTTTGAAGTACTTGCTGCGTCCGCAAAGAGGCACGTTGGAGTTCCTCGATGCAGGTCGTGCGAAATTGGGTTGGAAGAAGCCCATTGTGGGGTAGGCGAAATTGCATTAAAAATAAGACACGAAATTCCAATTAACTTTCCTAACTTTTTCACTTGTTAGCGTTCACGTGCGTCGCACCGACAAAGTTGGCACCGAAGCGGCCTTCCATCGCATAGAGGAGTACATGACACACGTCGAGGACTACTTCCTAACATTGGAGATGAACGCCACTACAGTGCCGCGACGCATATTCCTCGCTTCCGATGACGCGCGCGTCATCGAGGAGGCGCGCAACAAGTATCCCCAGTACGAGATCATCGGCGACCCGGAGGTGGCACGCATGGCCGCCGTCTCGACGCGCTACACCGATACCGCGCTCAACGGCATCATACTCGACATACATCTGCTCTCTCTCTCCGACTACCTGGTGTGCACGTTTAGCTCGCAGGTCTGCCGCATGGCCTACGAAATAATGCAAACGCTGTACCCGGATGCGGCGCATCGCTTCAAATCGCTGGACGATATCTACTACTACGGTGGGCAGAATTCGCACAATCGACAAGTGGTCATAGGCCATCCGGCGCGCAATCACGACGAGATCCACATGAAGCCAGGCGACCTGGTGGGCGTGGCTGGCAACCATTGGGACGGTTATTCGAAGGGCAAGAATACGCGCACAAATCAAGTGGGACTCTTCCCCTCGTTCAAGGTGGTTGACAAGGTGGAAACCGTCAGGTTGCCACTCTACGAGCAGGTGCAGGAGGGGCGGGTGTGAACGCGAGCGGAGCGCGTTGCGCGCACAATGCTCTGAGCTGAGTTGTGCGACACTAGCGCGTTAAGAAAATATTTATCATGCAGTTAGGCATTTTGTATGTATGATTTTTTTTTTTGTTTTTAATTTAGGTTTGTAAAAATTATTATTTTAGTGCTGTGCAATACTACTCTGCTAGATACTAGATTTTAGTCAATAACTATAGACGCAACATGAAAATTACGTATAATATATTTTTATATGATTTTTTGCGCGGCGATTTTGATTTTTCACTTTTTCGACCGCTAGAGCTGCACAAAACCGCTTACAACTAAATTTTTGTATCGTATTTTGATTGAAAATCGTTTTTTTTTTTTAAATTTATTTTTGATTGCGTATAAAATCGAATAAGCTATAGCTATGAGTTAGGTAACTATAAGTAAGTAAGTAAAGTAAGTAAACACCAAAATGAACAAAATTTGCAAAATATAACGGTTATTGATAACATAAAACTTACATATATAAAAATACTATACAACAAAAAGAGCAGAAACAGAGCAGCAGAAATAATAAAGGCACTCGAAACAGCTGCACAAGATCTTGAAATAGGTTTTTGTTTAAGTATATATGTCACAGCTGCTAAAAGCTTTGTAGCGTTTTACGGCAAAGCCAACTTACCTCACTAATACTGGCTTCATAAATCTGTTTAAACAATTTTTTTTACTGCACTACAAAGTGCATTGTCAAGACTTTTTCCTGATTCAGCTGTGGTGTAACTTAAAAACTAAAAAATATGTAAGTAGTATGAGCTTTTCCCAAGCAATATTCCAGTGTAGAATGAAGCATTTTTTGTTAGAATAAAAAGTAATTAAGCTATATATTAAAAAATAGTGTTAATAAATAATGTGGACGGCACTGAAAATAAAATTATAGTTTTATTGAAAAATTTTCACGCCACAATGTGCCTGAAAAGTCCGCATCAATTTCGCAGCCAGACTTTAATTTCTTCATGAGGCACATTGTGTTGTTGGGCGTGTAAAATAGTCTGAACAAAAATATCTAGTATACAAATGTAAACATATTGCTGAGACCAGATGTATGATTGCAATATGTAAACAATGAGTAAAATTAAAAATAAAATCAAATGTAAAAACATGTGCATATCGCAATTCGAACATTTTTTGTATTGGGTGGAATGTGTTTTAATACAGTTAATTGTATTTTTTGTAATGTATATTTTTTAATAACACTGGATCACAAATTTTAATTTTGTTTTTGTTCTCCAGACGCCACTATCCAATTTGTATATAGAATCGCTCGCTACTTTTTCGAGGTATTTGCAATTTACCGTTATTCAGCTTAAAAAAAGTGTGGTTCCACTATATCGAAAAGCTATACATAGAAAAAAAATTATCTCGATTTTCGGAATCACCGAGCCATTCTACATAGGAATTGGATAGTGACATTATTAGAACATTTTTGCTGTAAACCAGTGTAATTCTCATACGACTTTCGAAAAATATCATTAAATTTATAAAATTGTCCTTTTATATTGAATTCAATAAAATTTGATTAAATTAAATTATTTCTTATCGTTGATGCACTAGCATTTATGTAGGTACATACACTAGTTCCATACAATTTATATTTCGCATGGTCCAACACTGTCTGCACAACCCACCCACACCCACCTGTTGAACGAACACATTCACGTTTGACAGTTCCGCGTTGTCCTTTCATTCGATCGCAAGCGTCGGGCACGCGCTTTTTTAGTTGTAAATTTCGGGTGAAGAGTGCGTTTTTGGTTAGTAAATAATATTAAAAACAAATTAAAAGTAAGTCAGTTACCAAGTGCATTAACGCGTTCGATAAAATCCACGTGCGAATGGTGAAAAAAGAAGAATGGAGAAGGTGCAGGTTTTTTGATAGTGGAAGTGAAAATGAGAGGCGCGCGTGTGGGTGCGTCGGTTTGTTGTTATTGTATCGGCATATACCATTATACAAAATGTTTGTTTGGGAATGCTGTTGAAGTGTTAGTCCTTGGCTATAAATAAATCTGTGCCGTTCCGGTAGCGTAGATTCGCCTGCCGCGGGAACGAGTGCGTCGCATAGCGGAAATCAGGAACGCGAATAGTGCTTTAAAACGATAATGTCGGTGCTAGCGAAACTTAAGGAAATAAAAAGAAAAATCTAAAATAATCACTAAGTTTGCATAGTGGCTGCTTCGATTGCTGACAGGTAAGCAACAATAGTTCTATCAAGGCGAATTTATATAAGGTGGTGTTACTAGCTCAGCTGATTTAGTGTATGTGTTTCGCCGCACGGCTTCCGATATCAAATTGAAAAATTTTATTTGAATTTCTACACACACTCTTACAGATTTTGACAGTTTATGCCGCCAAAGCAAAAACAAAATACGTGTAAATTTTTGTTTTTGTACTCCTGCTATCACCTTATATTAATTCGCCTTGAGTTCTATATTTTTACGTACTAGTTAATGATAGTTGGTAGCAATTTTATTTAAGGTGCTAGCTAGATAGTCCTTTTTGCAGATTTGCACAAATCACTTTCGGAAATAAAAATTGCAAGATGTAACTGCAAATGAAATTATGCAAATCCCTTTTGAGAAATAATTTCAACTTGCTCGTGCTTCACTTAGGAATGTTCGATATTTAAGAAAGTATCGATATCATGAATCGATGTAATTCATTGCATGTAAAATCGATATGGCGATATATCGGGCTGAACAATATCGATATCGGAAAAATCGATGTTGAAGATCCTACTTCCAATTGAATAGAATATTAGACCTGCTTATCAACTCAACTAATTGTGTTACTTCCATCTTGTATATTTACTGAGGATTAAAACAGTATGCCGGTCGACTCAAGCGGTTTGTCAAACTTAAGAGCTAAGTAAATCACACAAGCTGTCGATCAAACCTACTTCGGTATTTTTCCATACACTTCTTTGAAGATGAAAAATAAATTTCAACTTAAATATCGATATTGCGGCTATAGTATCGATGTCTTCGGTATATCGACCTTGGAATATCGATTATCGTGCGATGAAATATCAATATTCAGAAAAATCGATACGATATCGAACATTCCTAGCTGCACTAGCAATTTTAAGTTTTGCTGCAAGTGCTGTTAAACCAATCAAGTGTTGCCGTGTAAGGCGTTTTTTGGCGAATTTGTATAAAATTATAAAAATGTTGAATAAAATATGAAAAATATGTGTAATTAATTTATTCAACTGATATGGAGCATTTAAGTATTAATGTATTATATATTTTGTGACTGTTTTGTGCACATTTTAGCAGGTTTAGCAAATTTTTCTGGTTAATTTTGTTATAAGCATAAAAATGTCTGGTAACATAGTTGAAAGTGGGCTTGTCTGCATTTACAGTGTAACCAGACAAAAAGTGGTATCGGAAAGTTTGATTTTCAGGAATAAAAAGTGCGTTCGAAAGTCACTTTACGTGCAAGCTGTAACTGCTCCTGCATTCTCTTTTGGAAATTCTTGAGTTTGACAACCTTTGGAAAGGACTTATACTTGCCATGTCTAACAGCTACTTTACACAAAAACTTGCAAGAAATTTGTAAAGTTGGCAAAATTGAGAAAGCAACATTTTTAGGGGAAGGTGCACTGACTACATTTTTACTTGCAAGTTGCAACAATTTGTCAGTAAGAACAGCTCTTTACATGCTGTTTCTAGCATTTACACAAGAAGAGTAATACATTTGTAGAATTAAGGGTCGCTTCCAGCTCTCAAGAAAAACGAAAAATTCACATAAAATGACGCACAAGAAATGGAATGATATTTACGTACAATTTCTTAAATCAATTTGCAGCTCTCAAGAAAGAATGTCACTCCACGACCCGAGACATCTCTAAGCATGCCCTTAAACCCCACAACTACAAAAATGTAGTTGCCAAAATAGCAACTCAGTTACCAGCTTTCCGTTGCCAGTTGCCATCTATAATACCATATCAAAAAGCTCTAGAGACTCTGTTTTTATCGGATTCAGTTTATTTTAATCTAAGGTTGATTTGGTGTCCATTGGTATTGGCATGATTATCTGTGGAAAGGAGAGGTGGGCTATTTAAACCTCATCCAGCTTCCAGTTCTTATCTTTTTAAATTTTCCCTGTATTTCTAAATATGAATGACTAGATTCAACTGCAATGCTTCTTCTATTTTTATTTAAAACTTTAATTGAACTGGTGCGCTAAAGAAATAGAATCTACTGTGCATAAATACGTATGTATGTAATTCACTGCTGTGTTTCGTCAAAACTATATCCTTGCTGGCTAATAAAAAAGATGGCAATAAGGCCATGAGATTTTGATATATTTCACTCGAAACGCTCTTTGAGGCCCATCTCATTGATAAAGCTGTATAGTGTAAAAGAGAATTTCGCTATCTGAAAGAATCAGCATTTCATAATCTTACTCACTCGAACGAAAGTAGCAAAATTGACTTGCACAAATTTACCTGCCAACAGCTCCATGGGCTTCTGGGTGTGCTGCATGAAAACCACTAACAACTTGCGAAATTCCTCATCCTGTTCCGGCCAGCATGCATCAAATATTACATTAGCCAGATTGTTGCTGTCGGATAGATTTCCATAATGATAACGGCGATCACGAAACAACTTGAGCCAATATGCGATGGATTGTCCACAGCAAAGAAGAATAAGTTGAGCAAAGTACAACCTAAAATAATGGCGGTGACTATGAATTGCAGAAAGGGAGTAATTGAAATGATTGGCACCACGATGTCGAGAGACTGCAATACAAAGAAAAACCACATTTCTCAACTGTATTGATTCGCCTAGTTTTGATAATACTCACTTTAGCAGAAGCTTATGATCCCTAATGCACATTTTCAATTCATCGTAGTTCTGCGCCAAAGTACATTCCGGATCGGCACCCAAATTTTGAATGCGTATGAGCAAAATTTTCATGTGTGCTCTGATTATGCAGATATTGATGGGTGCATAGCCATCGGTTAAAGCTTCGAGCGCACTCAGGCCGGACATGAGGAAATACTCCCAAAATCCTACAATGATGAATTCCAAATTCGAGTGACGCCAATTCAACACTGCGTTGTATGGTACGCGACCCTGCACCGCAGCGCCAATGAAGGTGCTAGTATTGACAATTACAAATGCATCGTGCCTTGGCGTCTCACCTTGCGCAGCTCCTCAATTTCCTCATCAGGGCAACAACGTGCATCCAATTTGTCCATGATCTCTTCTGCTATTCGCAGCTTGCAGAGGGGTGAGAAAGTTGCCGATTTTCTGCGCCGAGAAGGCGAGCTGTATGAAGGAAATGGTGAACGCAAATGGCAGCCAGAAGCCAATCAGAAAGCACGGTAGGATGGAGTAGAGATGGAAAAGGGGTTAAAGCGCTCAGACATTAGCATGGCGAAGGGTCGAAGAGAGCCAAAAAGGTAGCGTGTCGCGCCTCCTGTCCTGAAACAACTTTAAGCACATTTTCCGGGCTGCCGCCTTTTTTAAGTTCTTGCGGATTAGTTGCTGATGAAATCATTGCGATTCGCCTCTCATTTTCTGGATAGTCCACTCCAGTAATCGGCACTAAGTTGGAGCTCTTACTAAGTAGTTTTTGGAATTTCCATTTTAGCACATTGCCCATTGTGAATGTCGGCCGTATGGTTAGTCCAATGTTATATGAGTAACAGATGCGCCGACTTTTTATATGATGATTTAATTATTAATTCTGTTTTCGCGTCAGTTTTTTCACAACCCGCTCAGCCAAGTAATTAGTTTTGCAAAAATTAAATACTCCCTTTCTTATTTAAAGCTACTCAAAGCAAAGAAGCAAAAGTGTGAAACTTTTCATTTGCAGGGGCATGTTGTTTAGTCACTCTACTCTACAAAAGCAACTACATTCGGTGCCAGTATTTTGAAATACAAGTATCTATGTGTCTTCTGAAAACTTCCTACTTGATTCTCCTCTGCGCAGCTTTACAACCCCTCAAAGCGCTCCTTTACACCCATATTGTTAATAAAACTGTAGAGCGTAAATGAAAATTTAGCGATCTGCAAGAGAAGTTCATAAGTGACGTCTGTAATGGAAAGACCCTTCCTCTATGCCACTCCTACCCACCCTGACAAAAGTGGTCAAATTGATAGGAATTAGCTTCCCAGCCAGCAGCTCCATAGGTTTCTGGGTGTGTTGTGTGAAGATCACCAACATTTTGCGAAAATCCTCATTTTGGTCTACCCAGCGGCCATGAAAAATGGTATTAGCCAGACTATTACTATCGTCCAGCAGGCTTTGGCCATAATAGCACAGAGGGTAGACCTCCATGAGCAAGGCAACAACATAACACAAGTGGCCGATGCGCGCAGAGTTGTCCACCGCAAAGATCATTATATTGAGTAAAGTGCAACCAACCATCAGCGAAGTGGTCATGAACTGTAGAAAATAGGTGGTGGAGATAATCGGATGCACGATGTCGAACAGCCTGTAAGAAGAAGAGGCGCCCATTAGAACTCTATTCTATGAAAGTAAGCCAACCACTTCCACTCACTTCAGCAGCGATTTGTGATCCCTTATGCACATCTTAAGGTCTTCATAGTTCTCTTCCCGAGAGCGTTCCGGATTAGAGCCAAGTTTCTGTAAGCGCATGAGCAGCGTCTTCATGTGCGCCCGAATTATACAAACATAAATCGGAGCATACGAGTCGGTTATAGCCTCCTCGGCACACAATCCATCCATGAGTATAAATTCCCAGAGCGCAGCCCATACGAATTGCCATTTTGATTTGCGCCAATCCACTACCGGATTGTAAATATCGTAGGGCGGCCGTCCTTTCAGCGTTGCGCCCAAAAAAGTGCTTGTCGAATAGATTAAATTGCAAATTAAAATATAAACCAGTAAACGATTGCCCTGGCGTACGACTTTGCGTAATACTTCGATCTCGTCCTCATCCTTACAGCGCGCGTCCAACTCAGACATTATAGCTTCGCCAGCGCGCAATTTAGGCAGCTTGAATGCCATTACACATAGTTTGATGGCGCCGACAAACGATGCAATGCTTACCTGCACCGAAGTCAGCAAGTTGCCGATCTTGATGGTCGAGTAGTCCAGCTTGAAATAGGATAGCACGAAAGCGGCGGGTAGGTAGAAGGTTATGAGTCCGAGGGGAAGAAGCGCATAAAGGCAATAGAGGAATTTATATTTTTCTGGCATTAGTACACCAAGTGCCATAAAGGAGCGAAAGAGATACGTGAGCCCATCCTTCGAATGGATGTCGTGTACGGCACCGTAAGGACGCACTTCATGTTCTTCTTGCGCCGAAGATTCTCTTTTGCTGACAGGAGTGCGCGTAGCCCTCTCGAATTGAAGGCGTATCAGTTGGGCGTTGCTTAGAACTGGCTCGGCAGGTGGTTGCACCTCGGCAACAATGAACTCTTCGGGGCGAGTGCCTTGAAAAACCAGCTTCCTTAGCTGGCGAGGTAAAAAGTTGGCCATGTTGACTAAATCCTGTAAATAGCAAACTAAAGCATGAAGTTAAGAAAATACTGAATTTATCAGATAACCTAGTGCCCAACATTAATTTTAAGATCCCGCCCTACTGGAAAGAAACCATTTAATCGAAGTTTGGCCCACAATTTTTATTGTTTAGAATTAAGAAGATTTTCATGAAGAGACTACTGCTGCTTGCCATTATTCCAGCCCCATTCGCTCCCTAATGCCCATTTTCTTGATCAGCGTATACAATGAGAATGAGAATTTCGCAATCTGTGTAGAGACAGGGTTTTAATTATACATACATATCAAACCTCAACATTCTCGCATACTCACACTCAGAAAGCTGCCCAATGTTATGGGAAATATCTTGCCGGCATTAAGTTCCATCACGTGCTGAGTGCGCTGCATGAAGAAAATCATCATTTTCCTAAAACGCACGTCCTGTTCTATCCAATTTGCGTGAAAGATCTGCTGCGATAGGCGTTCGCTATCGTCCATGAGACACTGCGCGTAGTAGCAAAGCGGAAAGATCTCTACCACCACGGCCAGTATATAGAAACAGGAGGCGATTTGTGTTGAGAACTGATCGGCGAAAACGAAGATATTGATAAGCGTAGCGCTAAGTATGGTGGCGGTTATCATAAATTGGATGAAGATCGTCACAGAAATTATAGGCGCAATGATGTTGTAGAGTCTGCAAAGGCGGGAGGTTACGAATGCATCCAGGGTGGCAAACAAACTTACCCCAGTAGATTCTTGTGATCCACAATACAAAGTTTCAGTTCTTCCAAATTCTGCTCCGCATTCAGTTCTGCATTCGTGGCCAACTTCCTTAAGCGTATCAATAAAATGTTCATATGCGTGCGTAGTATACACACATAGATGACCGCATAAGAGTCGTCTACCACTTGCTGAAAGCAAGCCACGTCCATGAGTGCGAACTCAATCAGCGACGCTACTATGAACTCTAGTTTCGATTTGCGCCAATCGAGCAACGGATTGTACAACGCATAGGGTGGACGGCCAAAGAACACCGAGCC